CAAGTCCTGATCACCCTCTTCCTTGCCCTACCCCTACATCACAGCTACGGTGCGCAGGCCCCCTTCCTAGCTATGACTCCTCTCTCTCTCTTTGTCCCAGACTGGCGCTGTCTTATTGATTCTACTATTGGATAGCCAAAATCTCTCGACTTCCTCCTGGCTCCGGGCTCTCTTCCACCTCTGGCGCATAAGCAGCACTCTGGCCACCAATGCATGCAACGCAGAATGAATGAGCCGCTGCCCCCAAGCAACACTTTTGTAGAGTCGACTCTTGACCTGACTCAGTTTGCCTCCCCAGACGGTGGAGATTTCTCGATCGGCGCGGCCCGGAGTTGCTGTCCGCCAATGTGTGCCTGGACCCAGTGGGCCCTGGAAGCTTCTGGAGGAGTACAGAGTCTTTGATTGTGCATCAGATCTGTGGCTGTGGTTGACTTCTGAGAAATCTCTGGCTCGTGGCCTACTCTTTCCGAGTTTGGGCCGGACTCCTGATTTTCCTGGAGTGACCCCCCTTCGCGTGGGCGCCGTGGGGCACAGGCAGCTTCATTTGACCCCCCTTGACCCTTTACCTGTTGACCCAAGGACTCTTCCCAGACCCCTCTAGGACTGCAGTCGTAACTTTGGACCCCTAAATCTGGACTTAGACCAAACGTTACGACCCTGGACTGTGCATGTGCGTGTTTTCTTTTTTCTTTGCGGATTTTAGACTGAGCAGAAGGAAGCCTTTTGGAAAACAAGATGGGGCCCATACCCGCTATTGATCGGCCGGGACCCCCAGACTGGCCGAACGCTGTTTGGCCCGATCTTGATGCGCCACATGCCTAGACCTCAGACTGAGGAAGACTCAGATTAGAATTACGGTAATCTGGAGACCTCAAGCGACGTGTATTCTAGTTAGGATGGATGGCCGTGACTGTCACTGTCAGTGGGGAGACAATAGAGATGTACCATAGTAGGGAGTAGGTTGGAATACCCGTGCGTGTAGGTGGGAGCAATGGAGGTGTGGCTGGGAAGCGCTTCGCACGGTTGCGGACCTGGGTAAGTGCGTCAAAGGTTCCCGGAAAACATTGGTGGAAGGCATTCCACGATGCAGACCGTGAATTTGAATCTCAGGGTCGAAGTCTCAGGCCAAAATAAGCCAAGTTGGCCAGTCTCAGAAAGGTCACAGTTGGGTACCCCAGGGGCCAAGTCCAACAGGTACCCGGTGGAGAGTCACATCCCAAAGGCAAAAGTTGCATTTCGTAAAGCAAAAGTCATGTCCCACAGTGAAAGGTCAATGGTCATATCCCACAGGCAAAGAGGACACTTCTCCAGGCAAAAGTCGTGTGTCCCAGGGGCAAGAGTCACATCCACAGTCAAAAGTCATGTTCCACAGATTTAAAGCCGTGACTCACAGTCCCAAGCAGCAGCACACCATTGAAAATTTGGGAAAGTACCAGGCCTTAACATTATGAAGCAAGCAGGCCGTGGGCATGTGGTACCAGTACCAAGTCAAACCAGAAGAAGAAGCAGAGGCTGGGACGAGCTGAAGCTCAGTCCAAGTCAATATAAAGACTGGCCAGCCACATTTCAAGGGAGAAGGCTCATTCGTGAGAAGTGTGGAAGTGCTGCTGAAGCGCTTGTGCGCTATCTGCGAGTGACATGCGCGAGAGCCCTGCTGGGCAGCGCCGTGCTGGGAGGGGAGGCAGCCATAGCCGAACAGCTAGTAGTAGGAGATAGAGCTGAGTGGTAGCGGATGTATTCAGAGTCAAGATCCTCAAGCAGAGAGAGAGAGAGAGGCAGAGCCAGTAGAGGGAGAGAGTGAGTGCATGCATGAGAGAGAGAGAGAGAGAGAGAGAGGGCTGTCTCTTATACACATCTAGATGTGTATAAGAGACAGGAGAGAGAGAGCGCGAAAAGAGAGAGAGAGAGAGAGAGAGAGAGAGAGAGAGAGAGAGAGAGAGAGAGAGAGAGAGAGAGAGAGAGAGAGAGAGAGAGAGAGAAGGGGGGGGGACACAGAGAGAACAGAGTCACCTACCTTGGATGAGGATGCTGGAATTGGGTCACTGAACTCTGTGCTGATGACCGCTGGTGACTGCAACTCTGAAACTGCTTAATGTGATCATTTGTTGGAATGGAATTTCTAAGCTGTGCTTATCTGGACTTTGCATCTCTGGACTCCAGTGTGGACTTCGGGTGATCTCTATCTCATTGTGTGTGTGTGTTCAAGGTGACGAGCAGTGAGGCTCAATGCACTGGGGCTCAAAACATGGGAAACGAAACAATGTAAATGATAAGTATACAGCTAGCCTGAGCTAGGTAGTCCGCAGTGCCCAGATTGCATGGTTGGAACTTGGAAATGAACGGTAAAGCCAACCAGTGTGCCGGATGGCGACACGCAGGTTTAGGAGAGATTTTGAGGTACGAACATGGAGGCCTGGTCAATGACAGGAATACACAGCATGCATATATACAATATATGGGGACAGGTACAGGATGTTTGGGCAAACCTGACGGAGGGAAGGGTGAAAGGGTCAAAGGACAAGTTGATACTGGGACACTGCAGCGGGCCTCTATCTGCCCTGACCTACAGCCAGGGCCTATCAGGCTATTTTGCCTGTTCAGCCTGTGGGGTCAGGCCACGGGCCGTGTGCTCACTCAGTCCAGTCCAGTCCTGCCCAGTACCACTGTCGGTACCAGGCCAGCCGCTGGGGGTATACCCCAGCTGTTGTCCGTTTTTCGTCATTCTTCACTTTTGCACATCTTGGAGTACGTGCGTGTTGAGTCTGAGTCGGAGCTGTGCTATCCTCCAGCTCCATCTCCATCTCCTCCATCCTCATCCGTTCGTCTTGATCCTGACAGACCACCATCCCGGCATGTCCGTCACAGACACAGACAGCGCATGGATCACAGTGAATGAACTACATAGGCTAGGTGAGTAGGTGAGTACCATTAGATAGGTTGAACAAGGGATATGCGGCCTCAGGGACTGCCAGGATGCCCACCCCCGCAAGCCCCCCCCTCCTGGGGATTACCCTGCGGCGTGATTGGGTGCTGCCAGTAAGCTTCCCGACTTGCACGTTAGTCCCTGAGGAAGGGTTGGAGTTTGGGGGGAGTGGGTTGAGCTGAACCAGGCCCCTCCCTTGCTTAGGCGGCTCGAGCCACAAGGGTAGGCTGACGCTTTTCTCTGTCTAATCTCCCCCGCTGCTCTTTCAGAAACATTTGCTTGCCGGTGATAAGCAACCGGACTGATGCCCCCCAGAATAGAAGGGGCTGTGTTTGCATGTGTGTGTGTGTGCGTGCGGGGAGGGGGGGAAGGCCACGGCAATGACAGCATTGCGCTCACCTGTTCCGCCTTCTGCAACTCCCCACCACTTCCGTAAGCATCAATCAATGTCGCCCAGCTCGTAGCATTTGGCCGCAATCCAAGGGCCTTCATTTCTTCCATCAGCTGTCGAATCTTCTCGGGAGATCCTGTGCACACCTTCATCATGGTGTTGTAAGTCACACTGTTTGGTTGGCAAGGGTTTGTCGGCTTCCAACCGCGGTGTGAACCTCCACCTGCTGCATTAGCAGCATCTCTGTTTAGTTGTTTACGCTTTCCATTCTCTCTGACAGGTTTTCCAGCGGGTCCGAGACCTGATGTCAGGTCACTCTGCGCTTGTCCCATCGTCGCAGAAAGCGGCAGTAGTTGTTGTTGCCCCTCCAAATGAGACAACCCTTCATCGACCAGATCGGGATAAGCCTCAGAATCAGTTGGCCCATCGATCATCCCATCCTTTGCTGCTGATCTGAACGTAGTTGATGGGTTCGAACCTCGATGGGTTTGTCGGTGAGCTCCTTGATTGGTTCCTTGACGGGCTTCTTCATACCGACTGTGTGATGCAGCAGAAATGGTTGCACTACCGTCATTATCATCGTTATCGTCATCCCGACCGCCATCACTTGTGGTAACAAACACCAGAGGCTCTTGTACAGGAGCCGGAGAAAGATCACACCCGTCCATACCCCCGGCTTTTTCCTTGAGAGCGGTGATACCCCGCGTCCGCTCTCCCTCCTCCTTTTCAGCGTGGGCGTCCCTCGTTTCCGAGCGGTTGGCAGGTTGGTAGTCCGCATTCTCATGTCGAAAGAGGCGTGGCTTGCGACCTCCTCTCTTCATTTCCTCCAGCAATCCAAATGCTCTCTGCTCCTGCCCTGCGTCTGCACAGGCATCGATCAAGATGTTATACGTTTTAACGTTCGGAGCACAACCTGCCTCTGTCATCTCTTCCAGAAGGCTTAGACCTCTCTCTACGAGCCCGCATTTGGTGCATGCACCTATCAGGGCTGTCCAAGTGTATACATTAGGAACCACGCCAGATGCATCCATATCCGCTTTCACTTCAAACGCCTGCTCCCACATCTTGGCCTTAGCACATGCCTGTGAAACATCGAACAGGAAGAATGCGCAGGAGACAAAACCGACGTCGAATCGTCAAAATCTTGTTTTTTGTTTGTTTGTTTGTTTGTTTGTTTGTTTGTTTGTTTGTCTGTTTGTTTGTTTGTTTGTTTGTTTGTTTGTTTGTTTGTTTGTTTGTTTGTTTGTTTGTGTCATCCTTGCGCAGGGACCATGCTAATCTTCGCTGTACCATTCCCAAGTTTAACGGATGCCCCGAAGGACATCCATGTCAAAATCTCTTTTACAAAACATCAAACACAAAAACGTTTTGAGTCTTTGACTGACCCTAGAATCATTCTCAGCTATCAGGGGCACTCGTGATGTTAAAAGCTCTCGGAGCGCCAAAACCCGAACGTGATGTTTGAACTATTAGTAAAACTGTGTAGCATCGTGTTCGCATTCGGTGACCGAACCCGAACGCTCGCGACCGAACGTGAACGAGCGCCAAAACCCTCTGAACGCGACCACAAAAATATAATTAATAAAAAAAAAAAAAAAAACAATCTCATAAAAAGACAAAAAGAGTGGTGGTTTCCAAGAATCAAAAAGACAAAAAGAGTTTTTCATTTGTCCGAGCGGTATCCACAAATACGGTAAAAAATTGTTACGGTGCCAATCAGAGTCCAAGGAAGATGAGGAAGAAAAGGCCTGAAAGGCCGTCCTGTCCAGATTTGACAGGTAATTGAATTGGTTGGGCTTAAAGAATTAGCCTTTAAAAAATAAAATAAAATAAAAAAAAGAAGGTGAGGGAGGTCGGGCCGTCCCACCTGAATGACTGTGGTATAACTGAACACATCTCTCTGTAGTTTGCCGTCAGCCCAGGAAGTCGTGTCTTTGTAAAGAAGGAGCGCTACATCTCCTCTGCCGGCTTTCGCGCATGACTTCAGAAGCGTGTTGTATGTAATAGAATCCCCTTCAATCCCATCATCCTGAACATCCAAAGCAAAATCCGCGTTTCACAAGTTGACAATCTCAATTTTTTTTATTTTTATTTTTTCTTGCTTTTGCTGAAACATAGGGTTGGTTTAGTATTGGAACAACTCCTTGGAATTGTCTTTGGCTGCTTGTATACCAGCAGGCTGGGTGCACGGGCTGCCTCTGGGTGCCCAAAAGGCCCGGCCACACCAGGTCCTCCTCGGCAAGGTCTCCAGCCAGGTCTTGGATGGCCCCAGCACAAATTAAAAAAAAAAAATCTGAAAGAAAAAAACAAAAACATGTTGTGTGGGACTAATGTCCCCTAGAATACAAGGGGCTGGGGTGTTTTTTTGGGAATAATTTCAATAAAAAATAATTAAAAAATTGCGATATGAACAACTTCTGGCCGCAGGTTATTTCAGAATTCGGAATTCCATATTAAATATTATTAAACCACCACTACATCTCCCAGCTATATTTTGTTCTGACGCCAAACTGTTAATTTGCCACGTCCTTTGGGGCTCGGCCTGCCGAAAGCATTTGGCTGGCGACGCGAGTTAAAACAAAACAAAAAAAAACAAAAAAAAAGGTGCCACGCCATTTCACTTTCTTTTTTAGGCATGTAGCCCAAATTTGCCTTGGGACAAAGAGCGTCCAACGTAGTGGCGGTTTAAGACTTCAAGTTGAGAATAACAAACAAAGCCAAAAATCAAATAAAGGTGCACCGTGCACCCCTTTAAGCCTGTAATGAACCCCCCCATCCCCCGAACCGCAAAGCTCACAACATGTACATCATGCACGTAACTCACGAGACTCGATGATTTTGAGAGTTTTCGACAATCGCCAAGAGAGAGCAAGTGAACCAGCATTCAAACCCAGGCGTATAATAAGTTAAGATGATAATTTGTATTAATTTAATAATTTCCAAAAACTGGTCAAGGAATACAATGTCTGCTCTAGCCTTCCCCCTTCTCCCTCTTCTTCCATCTTTCTTCTCGCCAACCCCCAACTGTCAACCTATCCCTCGGCTGATGACGCAGCCAGTGTGCCTCACACAATACCTCGCCAAGACAGAAAGCCACTCTCTCCAAATTGAATGCAGTTTCAATCAGGCTCGATGAAGAATAACACGAGACCAAACAATGCCGGCCTCGAGGAGCAAAGTGCTGTATTATAACGGGGCGGCCTGTGACCTGTCGGAGTAGGTTGTGGTGGACTGGCTGGTGTGATGGCGCAGTTCGTTGCCCAAGCCGGTCACTGCTGCCCGATTCTCTCTCTCTCTCTCTCTCTCTCTCTCTCTCTCTCTCTCTCTCTCCCCCTCCGCCACTCTGCACAGGATGTGTTGTCCGTCAAACGGACTCAAACCCCATGCTCTCCCTCTCATGGTAGGTTACGGTGCAGCACACCATTTATCCTAGCTATGGCTACTCTCACTGTCACTCTCGCTCTCGGTCTGCCTTCTTCCAGTGCTAGAGTTCTGGGAGGCAGTGCTGCCGCCGCAAAGCGGCGTAAAGGCAGAATGAATGCACGACCCGTCGACCAGGGGCGAGCTAAGTATTTGTAGCTTTGACTCGATCTGGTCTGCCTCCAGTTGCCTCCTGGAGTGGCTGGATCAAGCCTTTGGATAGTGTGTGATCTGTGGCCGTGGTTGACTCCTAACAAATCTTTGACTCTTTGACTTCTGTGGCCAGGTTGGGCCTGAGCGTTGATTTTCCTCGTACCTCTCTTCACCTCTAGAGGCCCCACTTTTGCCCCTTTGATTTGGCCAGGGGTCAAGGCCGGTAGGCCTGGGCACCTCTTTTGACAGTTGACCCCAGGCCTACCGGCCTAAGCACTTTCCGATGGCCCCTAGGAGGTGATAGATAGTACAGACTTCTGACTCTAGAACTTTGACTTGGTCATTGGTGATTTTCACCTCGGGTCTTCGCAAAGCCCGTTCACACCCCATGTATTCCACCCTCCAGCCACCCAATCAGCAACACTGAAACGATCCTCGCTGACCTTCGTGGGTGCAGAAATTCTCCACCCGGGGACCCCCCCCTCCCTCCCCCCCCCTCAAAAAAAAAAAAACAGTCAGGTCTTTTGAGTTCCCTGAGGTAAATCAGGGAGGTGCCTGCCTGGGCAATTTACCTGGATGTCACATGTGCCCTAGCTTTGGGGGGAAGAACATAGATAACCTTTAAGGTTTAAACTTTAAACTTTAAACTTTAAAGTTACAAGTGGACCCACCGCGGCTTCGCGCGCGGCGAAGGGAAGGAAGAAGCAGATGGACCGGAGGTCCGGCACAGTCACGAACCGAGCAAAAGAAGAAGTGAAAAAAGGTTGTGACGAAGGTGTTTGTTACGGTGGAGGGATGAAAARGAAAAAAAAATGATGTCGAAGCTGTTGTTATGAAAAAAAATAGAGCGCAGGGCAGTCGAGTGTTGTACAGAGCCGGAAAAAAAAAAAAAAGTTTGCAGAGATTAGGGGCAGGGCAGTCTGTCCGTTTCCTCTTCCACTGTCTCCCTCTCGTTCCCTTTTTCCACACAGGTCTCAACCGACAGTATCATCTCTCTTCTCCATCCTTGTCGACACTCTCTCTCTCTCTCTCTCTCTCTCTCTCTCTCTCTCTCTCTCTCTCTCTCTCTCTCTCTCTCTCTCTCTCTCTCTCTCTCTCTCT